GGTCAGCTAGACGGAGGGGGATGAAACTCGAGTGGACGTGTCCTGGCCTGGCGAGGGGTAGACGGAGGGGCGGCAAAACCGACCGCGCGCATCTGACCGCGACGACGACAGTCATTCGTACAATTTTTTGCCCAAACGCGACACGTGGAGCCAGCTGCATTCGGCCGCGTTGCATACGGCGATAGACGTTTTTGCCATTGCCTGGTAAGACACTGTTGCTTAAATAGCTTTCTTTATAGTATGAATGGTAGAAAGATCAATGTTCCCTTATTTAGCACGCCTCTGTCAGATTTTAGCTCCCAAATCATCCGGACCGCGTAGAAGCCCTGTCCCCCAATCCCTCATTAAAATGTGCTTAGGTGGAATAAGACTAGCTGTTGAGAAAATCTTGCGAAAATCGGCTTGGACAAAGTGGTCCACCTGGTCACTCAGGACGGGGGAACAGCGTGAGGTGGTGGGGCAAAGACAAGACGGTAAGACACGGGATTAAGAACTCGCCCTCCCCCCTTATAAGGCAGGTGACCTTGGGCTAAATTTCAGAGAGTTTGCCCGTTTCCGTGTCCCGGCCCTAGCAATAATCAAACCCTAATCCAAACCCTGGAATTTTGCGCAAAACCGCCTATATTGCGTGGAGGTTTCTATTCCCATATCCTACCGGCAAGACTAATTAGGATGGCCGTATTTCTGGCTTGGGTGCGACTGTCAGCCAGCCATACCCCTGACTGGCATGGCTGCGATAAGTGATAGACAGAGCACTACAGAAATCGACAACTTGATCCCGGCGCACTGTCAAACGCTCTCTGGCTCTGTCTGCTCCCCCATGTGCCACGATCTTTCCTTATAATGTGTTCTGGTTACCATACTTACTGAGTATTTATCGTTTCTCTACTTGGGTTGAAATCTTTAATACACTGAAAACTGCTTAGATTCCTGTCGAGTACATGCAAACCGCTGGAATTAGATGATAGGCCTAACTGACTGCAACACCAGAGAGTCGTTCAACCTACACTGTATCCATTTTTCGATCGGCCAGAAGCCGATCCCCGGATTCCGACTCTCGCTTGCACGAATAAGACAATTTGAAACAGAGCAAATCCGTGGAGTTAATCAGGGCAACGGACAAATATGCAAATATAGCAGTTAGGGTCGTGGTATAAAAACGCCGTCTCCTCCAGTAACCAAGGGCCCTACTGAATGAAGGTTGCGATTCTTTAGGTGACAGCCGATTCTAAGACGCAGGCCTTAAGGAGGGACGATTATAGAGAAACAGTATTTTTTGTCCACTCGGAAGAAGAGCTCGGTTTTTATTAGGAGGAATTCGATTGAGTGTGCGCTTCGTAGAGTGTAGTAGTTGCGTGTCATACGCCTAGTCTCTATGGGCAAAGCGACGGTGGTGCATGCTTGGTTACAGATTTGCACTAGTGGGAATGATGTTAAGCGTAAAGAGGCTCCTTCCAACCAGAAAACATGACCACCCGGTACCCAGTATTACGTTGTTTCGTCAACTCACTGAGGTTTGATGGTTAGGAACTCCTTACATTACTACAGACAACGAGAGATAAATATACTGTCCGTTCACACTGAGACGGGATTTGACCTCGACCCCTTGACTTCGCCTCGGATGTTTTGCACACCAACAAAACACCGCCTAGTCTCTATGGCCAAAGCGACGGTGGTGCATGCTTGGTTACAGATTTGCACTAGTGGGAATGATGTTTAGCGTAAAGAGGCTCCTTCCAACCATAAAACATGACCACCCGGGACCCAGTATTACGTTGTTTCGTCAACTCACTGAGGTTTGATGGTTTGGAACTCCTTGCATTACTACAGACAACGAGAGATAAATATATTGTCCGTTCCGAAAACGTTCACACTGAGACGGGATTTGACCTCGACCCTTTGACTTCGCCTCGGATGTTTTGCACAACGGCTACCGAGGGCAGGCCGACCGACTTCGCAAATATTCCATATTCCTTCTTATAACTCGTCACGCCGCCCGTCGACTGTTCTGGTGGGAAAAGAGATCGGAACACGAAGAAATTGTGAAGATAGTTCACTACATACAATGCTGGTAACATTTACGCAAAATCTTCTGTTTGTGTTTAATAAGGAGGGCTTTTAATTCATCGTCACCTCTCAAATGGGATACGAAACGCAGGGCCTCATAGTTATGAGGTACGTTTTTGAGCGAAAATTATAAACTGAATTATCGCAAACCAAAATACTGGCCATCTGCTGCCATTGGCATGACCAAATTGAGTCCATCTGACACCGAAGGCGCTCCTTACTGTTTTTTTTTTCTCATAACTAATAATAGTACTTTCCTCAGACTTGCTTCTATTTAATTCATGTTCTCGGAAAGTACTACTAAGCAACTTATCAGTCTTTGTAACGAGAATGTTGGGACCGTAATAGCTCTTGTTAAAGTGTAATTATTTGGAAATGCCTTACAGGAATTTTGTGCACTTTATTTACCGTTTCGTAGGTCAGATCAGATGGCACTTCTGCCTTTCTTGTCGATTTTCGAAAAGGAACGCCCCAGTCCTTCCTCCCTAACACATCCCCTGGACTTCCTGACAATGCACGCAGCCGCAAACATCAGCAACAACAGTTCTATTTACATGAATCATTCGACAAACAGTACGGGTGTCTGTCACCCATCGAGCTCCCTCTCCACTGGGGGAAGCTTGACAGCTCCCAGACACGATGGTTCGATGAAACCTGACTTTGTTCCCTTGGAAGTGAACGACAACTCTTGGGGAGATCGGTCGCTCCTTGCGGATCGTGCTCGAGATCAGGTTCTGAAAGTCTATTGTCTGTTAGCCAGCATGTTCTCCAGACGAGGACTCAGCCCCTCACACACAGGGCCACAAGGTCCCAGCATATCGGCACCCCTTGACACAAGCACAAAGATGCCACAGAACCCCACAAGAAGACAAGCGAGGCCTCCCCTGTCTGATCTATCAGAGCTGCGTCTGTTGTCTCAGCTCAATCCACAAGAACCCAGTCCCATCCATTATCGGAGAGACCTGCAGACTACAGCGACGGGATTCCCTTCCTTCCTCTCGTCACTTACACGATTTTCATCGGGAGTTCCACAAAAACCCCCTCCTTCTCCACCTGTATTGCAGCCCCCACCGCCGCTGTCAACATCCCTGCTCTTTCCACCTTGTCTCAAGGAGCTCCACCCGGTAAAGGAGGACCCCATGGTGACGGGGGATATTTACGCAGGCAAACAGTGGCGTCCGGATGTGATGTCTTCTAAGCAACTGCAGTTACTTGAGTCAAACATGGAACCTCGAACGCGGAAGCGTCATTTAAAACGCTGCCACAACACGCCGTCCTCACACAACACCACTAATGGCGGCGGTATAACTCAGGACAGACGGAAACAAATTTTTCGACGTGGAGGCAGAGTACACTTGGCGGACGGAACAGTACAACGAGTTGAGTGTCTTCAGCTAGAGGACTTTATTCAGAGCTGGAGGACTCGTGCTACTGCCGAATGTCGGGATACTGCAGATATCAGTCTCTGTTGGGCCCTTATACAGGGTATAGAAGCCGGTGCGACCGCCCGGGATGTGCGAATCCTCTTCAGGGTCCAGGAATTTCTCAGGAGCAGTGCTCACGGGTTAGGACTCCGTGAAGGACTCACTGAAGAGCAACATGTAAGTCATAGCAGCAAGTCTGTAGATGGGAATCATGAGGTGGATATTTACGCGCTTCTCAGCAGGATATTAAAGCAACTGAAGTGTAACTGCAGTCTCAAGCTTTCATAAATTGATAATAATTCAAGGGGGAACTCCTAACTTCATCACGATTTCTGCGATTTAAGCAATAAGTAAACGAATACTGGAAAATGGAAGTAGACGGACACCTTTTTGTCCTCAGAGTGCATTTGTCATAATCGGACTACAAACCGAGAGTGTCCATTACTTCAGGTCTCCTCAGCAAGTTAGAGCATCAATTTGTATGCTGGAGGAAAACAATGTGTCTATTTCTTTTGATAGCTCATGAGTTCTAAACAAAAGAGGACCTGATTGGATCATAAACCCATATATCTCTTAGAAATACAGTTGCTTTCGGCATGGAACACAACAATTTGAGGTTACCAGCAGATGGCAAATTTAAAACTCCAGATATTAATTTTATTTATATTAAAAATGGTAAATAATAAGTACAATAGGTAATATAGTAATGAATGCATGAAATGCATATTGAATTTACTGTTCTAAATGTTGTCCTTTCGGAAAAAATTGAAAAAGATCTACGTGAATTCGGCCTCATACAAACATTTAGGTAAAATATATACTTGATTGAACCGTTGTTCTCAGAGAAAACAAATATGATACTTTGACCACCAATTCACTTTACAAACTGACGGCCACAAGGTGACGTAAAAACTGTTGCGCCTTATGCTCAAATCCTGCACGACTCTTGGCTTCGACTGTAGGGAGACCTATCAGAATTTCACTGAAGGTCACGTAGAGTTCTATCGCGATTACTGTCTGTCAGGTGATGAAGAAAACAAGCGAAATTTGGTAATGCTTGCGAAGAGACACAAGTGACAGTGGAATGACCTTTTCCGGATCATTCTCGATAGCCAACCAAACTCACCTCCAGCGCGAATCCGTCACCGTTGTCGGTATCGCCGATGGGGATCTGAGGCGGAGGCTCAAGACAAAATAAACGCCATATTCCGTCTTGCATTAAGGCCCCACTGCTGAGTATAAACGCTGTCCGAATCTAAACCGACGTCCTCCTCGTTTATGCTATCAAAAGCATCTGCAGCGGTTCAACCTTCTTACGAACATTATGAGGGGATTTACACAGGGAGAACCGCAAAGAAGAGTGAAGATAGTGCCATGCAGGTCTGCTCTAGTGTACTAGGTTAAGAAATGGTATTCCGTCGGTGGGAAAAACCGGAAGGCTGTGGTAAAGCGACAGTCAACGCGCCAAGAAACTGGTGTATTGTGGAAAAATACTTTTAAAACAACATCTTAAAAACCCGTATGAAACAGACCAGCCAACAACCGGGAGACAGCTATTCTAATTTAATGACTGGATCCGTTCCTCCAAGGAAAACCTTCATCTATATAGGTCAAAGCTACATCTAAGGATCACATCCCATCTACGGTCCTTCAGCAGTAAAGATATTGGGGACAACAGATGAAAATCTGCCTACTACAACGATTAAAAACCCAAACTTGCACAGGCATCACATAAAGTCTTAGTCTGCGCTGGACCTGATGAGTAATTAACTTTTTACAGATATACGACATGTATACTAAAATTTACGGAAGCCGATGAATAGGAAAATAAATTGCTGCAATTTCTTGTTGGATTAATTACTAATATATGTGTATATATAATACATATGCCAATTATATACATTCTTAGAGTAGGCGCCCAACGCTCACTTGTTGCGGCTGGAATCTTGCTTGATTCCATTCTGTGTACTCGCCAGCTGGGCTGCTGACGACAAAGAACGTTGTGCTAGAGGACATATACCGCATATTATACCCGATCTCAACCGATAGGACAACGAACCCGTGGCTCAATTGTAAGGACGCTGGACTTCTAACTAACAGGTTGCGAGCTCGAGCCCCAGGTGTTGCGCACTTCGGGGTTGGGCATGATCGACTGGAGACGACTAACAAGCCAGAAATGGCCATTCCAGTCTCTCTTGTGTTTGTCGGCAATGTTAGTCCGCCCATAGTGTGAGCCGCTTTGCAACTGCTGGAGGGGTTCGAGGGAGAGAGAGCCCGAAGGCACAGGGGACGAGCGGCTTCCGCAACGCGATACGTGAGCGTCCTTCTACCATATGTACATGTATGGTAGCTTGATACAGTACTGTTTCGGGCTTATTGTGCCTTCATTCAGCCAATCATAACCCTGATCAGCAGCTGGGACCAGAAACACAAACATGCGCACAGACGCGGCTGGCGCAGTTGGTCCACCACTTGGGTCTACCAGATGGGCCATAAGCACTTACTCGAACCGAAGTCCATCAGTGTCTCGTCATCTGTCCTTCTTTGTCTTTGCAGATCGGGTATTTATTCATGCAGGAATGGGTGCGCACTGACCCATTGGCTTCCCGAAGCAAACAAGCCCATTCCTGAGTGAATAAATATCAGATCTGCAGCGACAGAGAATGGTAGATGACGAGACACTGGTAGACTTCGGTTCGATGAAGTGCTTATGAGCCATCCGGTATACCCCAGTGGTGGACCAACTGCGCCATCTGCGTCTGTGCGCAGGTTTGTGTTTCTGGTCCCAGCTACTGGTCAGGGTTATGATTGTCTGAATGAAGGCAAAATAATCCCGAAACAGTACTGTATCAATATACCCGCATCCTCTGTCGTCCCGCCTTGCTGCTATTATGATTTGGCCGACTTCGGCCTGATAATTGGTTGCCTCTTCGTGACCTTTGCCACCCGTGCGGAGCTGGTTTCCTTCGTGAAGCCAATAGATCGGTGTGTGCCCATTCCTGATTGAATATATATATATATATATATATATATATATATATATATATCGCGTTCATCATCTCCCGAAGAAGACGAAGAAGAAGAGAGGGCGAATCCATGGACCATATTGTATTGGAACTGACGTTTCGGAAAC